TAGGGAGCAAACATATTTTGGCACGCCCAGTGGGACCCTTATATGAAGTTAGATCATGAACAATCCTTATAGTCATGATTTTTCTGCTTTTTCGGAGGACGACGGTGTTGAAAAGCGCCCAAGCTATGGCTATCACATAGAGCCAACCTATGAGTTGCCAACTTATGGGTACATGGCTGAAAAATACTCAAGTCCTGTGGAATATGATTGTCGGCCAACTCATGGCCATCAAATAAATAATAATTTTGAAGATTGGCCAACTTATGGCTATGATGAAGGTTATTATTCTTTTGAAGACAATCACATTCATGAATACTATGATAGGCCAACAAATGGCTTTGAGTATCAAAATGCTTCCAATGAGTACATAGAGCCAATATATGAGATGTCAACTCATGATCATCCGGATGAAAAGCTCTACAAAGAAAATGTGGGCAAATTAGAGAAGGTGTCCAAATTCCAGGTGGCAAGCATCGAATATGGTGAAGAGGTGGCCAAGTGTTTTAAAAGGGTGGAGGAAAGTTATACAACTTTTGGAGAAACTTGAGAAAGTTGATAGATCAAATATGTCAAATCCCCTCTACAAAGCACACTCACCCTCCTACAACTAAGGAAGAACAAATCATACACGTTGATGAAGGCCAAACAATGGCCCCACCCAATGAAAAATCCATGAAAATGGATATGGTTGTAGGAGACCAAGCCGACATATCGAAACCGATAATGGCTAAGGTGGAGCTTATGGCTATTGTAGGCCAAACACCAACACTCGGGGGGCTTGAACTCACACCTCATGTGGAGCCCGAAGAAGAAGAAAAAAGCTCATACACTCCTCCCCGCCAACACGAGCATGTCGTCTATATCAAGATCTCAAGGAGAGCAAAGTTTGGGATCAAACATGAATGGCCACCTCCTATGGTTCCCAAGCTATATGGCATGACCAATTTAAATGGAGGATCCGATCTCTCTACACTCAATTTTAAACAGAGAAAAAGATTTGAGTGTTAAGAGATATATGGGCAATCAAGGGGCTTGACCAATGTGCCCGAATAGGGCTTGTTTTGTTTCCTCTTCTGCCCAAAGTAGGTTTCCTGCTTGTTTCTTTATCTTGTTTTCTCCCCCTTTCTCTTTCTTCTTCATTCTCTCTTTTCTTTCTTTTTTATGTTTCTTCCTGTTTCTTTCTCACTTGTCTTTCTGCTTCCCGAAATGGCTATTTTTATATCAATGTATCTATATCTAATATTATATTATATTATGTAGTCAAATTGCTCCCGAAAGGGATATATATATAGTTTTTTTATATATATTTTATATAATAAAAGTGTGCTGCCCGAAGGCTTTTTGTATGTGTATATTATATTATATTATATGTATAGCTTTGAAAAAAGACAACAAAGAAAAATATAAAAAAAAATATGGCTTGTTTTGGTAATTTGCCCGAGTGGGCATTTATGTTGCCCAACTAAGGGCTTTCTTCCTTTGGTGTTGGTTTGCCCGAAAGGGCTTTTGTCCCTTTTATGTTTTACTATGTTTAAAAAAAAAAAAGGCCTGACAAGTCTTTCTTTTTATTTGTCTTTTTCCAACTTGCCTAACAAAGGCTTTAGTTTTCTTTTTCTGTTTGCCCGAAAGGGCTTTGTGTTTTTTTTTTATATTATGCTGTCGCAAAGAAAAAGATATTAAAAATTACAAATTACAAAAACCACAAAAAGATTTTGCTTTCTTACTTTTGTTTTTATGTGTTCAAAATGTCAAAGGCCTAGCTTTCTTTCTTTTTATGTGTCTCTTTCCTCTTTCCAGTTGCCCGAACTGAGTTATGTGATGAGTGTACAAAAAACAGAAAATATAAAGACTTGGGCAGTTTGTGAGTAGCCATTTTTACCCTTCTTTCCACTTTTTTCTTATCCAATGGATGTATTTAGCCCGAACCCAAAAGTTGAAATTAGAAAACTATACAGTGGCTGTACCCAAATTCATGGAATGAGGAGTTTCATAAAGAGCCGAAAATATGGCTTTCCTGCTGAAAAGCATGTCATCTGTGTCTCAATGTCTATTGCAAGAAAGCATGGGGCTATCTTGCCCGATTGGTGGTGCCCGATGGGACCATAACCATGCCTGACAGAAGTGACGGCTTCCCTGCTCACCACCAACAGACTCTGTATGTCTCCCTAACTCTCACCAGCTCCTACAACCAAGGGTGGGCTACTTCGGCGACTACCATTGACGGCTACTTCACGAGCTTCTGATTTGGTTACTATTTATTATTGGGGACCAGCTTTCAGGGTGAGAAAATAGAACAATGAAGTTGCATTTAAATATGAACTGTGAAAGCTGGAGAAAGATAGCAGAAAATTGATGTTGCTGTTGCCCGAATGAGCTATAATCTTGCCCGATGGGCAGGACATCTTCTCTGCTGCAATTTGTTTAGATGTTGACAATCAGATGTGGGGCCCCACATTTGATCTGGCAAATATATTTGATGTATTCTTGCCACATTTACTGATCCTCCCCTTGCTGGTTTTAAGAATACCACTCCAGCACAGCCCCCGCTCACTCCTTCCATTTCCAACTGTATTGATGTTATCATCAACTAGGAAGCTGGCAAAATAGATTCAAAAGGAGGCAGTCAAGTTTGGGAAATCGTCAAAGATGTCTTGTGCGTTTGTATGAAGAAGCTCCAAAGGGTCCACAACTGAGAGATACTGATCGAGGAGCAGATGTGGTGGTTGCCACTCCCGGTCACTTGAAATAATACCACTGACTATTTTGGATCTGCACTTCAACAAAATCTCAACGACAAAATATCTTGGTCAACTTGCGGTGAACTACAACTCCCCGTGAACCATCAGTTTGGAAGGACTTCTTCCCCACATGGCGTACTACAACCGGCCGTAAATCAAGTCTAGCTCTCTGAATGATTCTGCAGATCGATCAAACATGACCACCTCCCTCCGAGCGGAACAAAAGCAACAGTGCATAGTCAACAGCACTACCTTGATGGGAAGCAGACTTATGAGCCTCAAGCAGGATCTCTCGATACGCAGGAGTCGGAGCGAGGGAACGATGGCAGATATCATTCAACCAACAATATTGCAGCTCACAGCTACCCGTCGTTACCTCCCAACATGCAGCCAACGTAGCAGCTGCAGCTTCAAAGCCAGCCACTACACTTCAGTCGTCATCTTCAACTCACCACTAGCTAGAGGAGATGTGCAGAAATTTACTTTTGCAGCTCACCCAAATGCCCGACGGGACTTTGTTTGCTTTTTCCTAAAGCTTCCTGCCAACATCACATGTGCAGGGATTATAAAGAGAGGTTTTGCTTTCTTTTTCTTTTTTATTATTTCTCTCTTGTCCTTCTGCGTTTCCTTCTTTCCTTTGTCTCCTTTTTGCCTGAAATGGCACTTCTCTCTTTCCCTTTGCTTTTTTATTCTTTCTCTCTCTTCCTCCCTCCCCTTTCTCTCTCCCTTTTTTTCCTTCCTTTCTCTTTCTCTGTCTCTGTCAGAGACACATATATCTATATCTAATATTAGTTGTTTTATATTATAACATAATATAAATCTGACTGCTTTTCTTCCTGCAGCCACCTCAACTTTTAATATAACTGGCACCGTATTAGTTGTATTCAATACGGTGGCTTTACCACCTCAACTTTTAATATAACTGGCACCTACTACGTTATTTGCGTTGAACAAAGTCACTGCCAAGCAGGGCAAAAGATTAAAATCAAAATCGATGCCGCCGAACTAGAAAGTTCAATACTTGCTAGTCCAAGCCCTTCTCCTTCTCCCTCATTGTCAAATAATTTGGTCACAAGTCTAAGCCCGTTTACATATCTATCCTCGCCATCAGGTTCTCCGTGAAGCAATGTCACCAAGCTCAACTCAAAGGACCGCTCCAATTCTTAATTTTTTTAATTCTTCGGTCAGCTGCTACCGGTCTTGTTATTTTAGTGTGTGTGGTTTTGTATTTTATATACGTCGTTGTTTAAATGAATCTCAAATGCAGACCGAAAAGAACTGTCGGGTCGTATAAATGTATTTTTATTGTAGACCAAATTTTAAAAGTTTTCAATGAATTTGTACTTATTGTCGAGGTTTAGTTCCAGGATATAAATTTTTTTTTAACCAATCTGTCTGTTCAATCTCTATGATACTACAAATCTCTAACAAATTAAGCAAATTATTGAAATGTCATACATCGACCGTATCAATGACAAAATAAGAGTTTAAATACCATAATCTCACTCCAACTAGTACCGATACCTTTTGTGATAAAACCTCACACCTGACGGATTATGCAGGTGGTAATTACCAAGTTGGGGATAATATCAGTGTTGTTGGAAGTGGACCGTATGGCCTGTCTCTCTGATAATTCTACATGGTATCAGAGCCAGGGAGTGTTGGACTGTATGGCCCGTTTCTCTGATAATTCTATATGGTATCAGAATCAAAGAACGGGCCCGTACTGTAATGCCACGTGATGGGTGGGTCCCCTTGACCCCGCATGATGATGGTGGGTCACTTGGCCTCATAATTCTACCCAAATTACACAAGAAAACAATATAGCTTAACTTTTTTTCATCACCTTGTAAACACCTCTAAGTCTAACAATCAGAAAATGACAGCCACAAGCACCAAATAAACACTTGAATTTTAACCATATAAAAAGAAACAATCGTGCACAAAATAAGACTAATGAGATCACCTTGCTTAAATGTTTAATCTCTTTTGAGTAGTACTATTTATTTATTTTATTTTATTTTATTTTTAAAAGGATGATAAAAGATTAGGTGAATCGAGCTACGTATAAGGCTTGAACTACAATAGTAAAAATCTTATTCTTTAAACCCGCACAATGCGAAAAGAAAGAACCAAGACCCAAAATTGGCCCCTCCAATTCCTTTTCTTTTTCCTTTTGTTTAGTTGGAATTGATGTTTGGCGTACAACCCAAATAATTTGGATTCCTCCTTCATTTTTCTGAAGTTTTTGGTACCTGGAGTATTGTCTGGGAAAAGAGACTTGTATTGCTGACGATTAGAAATTGGTATATAAAAGCACTGGTAAGCTAACCATGTCAGCACAAACATTTTATTTTAATTATTTTCTTGCTTTTTCTGTATTGTTGCTATAAGCTTAGGATTTTGTTTGCTTTCTTGAAGCACGTCCATGTCTACTCCCAATTCCTCTGAAAATCCCAATGAAATCTTGTCCCTCGAGAGAATCAGAGAAACCATCATTCCCTCTCTCCTTGACCAATTCTCCCGGGCCAAATACTTCCTCTCCACCAGCCAATCTCACTCTGAAATGGCCAATCAATTTGAAAAATTACGCAAAGACCTCACTTACATCGAGCATGCATTCACCGGACTCAAGAACTTTGACGAAAGCGCGAGTAATCTTTTCAAGATCCTCCAACAGCCTCAACACAGCCTCAGCCACCTACTGGATCAGCTGTCAACGCGATCCCGCATCCTTGACTCACAAGCTAAGCAATTTCAGCCCAAACTGCGGGTGCTCAACGAGACCATCATCAAGCTGAAACTCCTACTTCCATCCCCACATAAACTTTTGTTGAGTAAGGAAAACTCTGTGTTGTCTACCGGCATTGACTTCCATCATCCCAACAAAGTGCTTGACAAATTGTCTGGCTTACACTTCAGTAAGGTGTTTGAAGAAAGCCCGGCTTATAAAGAATTTCAGGTTGTTTATAACAGTCTTCGTGTAACTACGAAGCTCTGTTTGTTGTGTTTCGCTGTGTTTCCTGTGAATGAGGTTGTAAAGAAGAGGGTTTTGATACAATGGTGGGTTGGAGAAGGGTTTGTGAATCCTCCGGTTGGTGGCAAAGAGACGGTTCTGGAAATTGCTGATGGTATATTTGAAGAATTAACAAAGAAGGGCTGCGTTGAACCTGTGAATAAGAAACGGAGACCTTCCGTGGTGCATAGTTTTAAAATGCACCCTATTATTCGTTCTGCGGTGATTGTTATTGCCAAAGAAGTGGGATTCTTTGATTTTGACAATAAAGGGAACCCCACAACCGAATTTTCATGGTCTCGACGTGCGTGTTTGATGGATGGTTCTCTGCCTCTGATGCAGGTAAGACCTCATGGGGATCCAGAAAACCTGCAGAGGAAGGATCCAGAAAACCTGCAGAGGAGGGATCCAGAAAACCTGCAGACGATATTCAATGTCAATGAGTCCTATCCAGATTTTTCCAAAGTGGAGTGGTCCAAGTTGAGGAATGTGAATGTTCTTTATCTTGGAAGGTGGCACAACAGAGCTAAGCATCACATTGAAGTAGATGACACCGAATTCTTCCAGGGGTTGCAGTATATGGTAAATTTGATATTCTTCAGTCTACGAGGAATATCGAGGATTATGGAGCTTCCTGATTCTGTATGCAAGCTTGTTAGTTTGAGGATCTTGGATCTCAGTGCCTGTCACAACTTAGAGGTACTTCCTGAAAAAATAGGCTTGCTTAAGAAGCTCACACACTTGGATATGTCCGAGTGTTACTTGCTAGAGCGTATGCCTAAGGGGATTGCGTTGCTCTCAGAACTCCAAGTTCTTAAAGGATTCATAATTCACGAATATCATAAGAATGATGCTTCATGTACTCTTCAGGATTTGTCAGCATTGCAGAAGTTGATGAAATTGACAATCAGCACTAGCAGGGAAGATTTTCCCAGCAAAGAAGAGCTAATTGATTTCCAACATCTTAAATCACTTCGAAAGCTGACAATAGTGTGGGGAGGGTTATCCATCCAAGCCAATGCTGCACAAGAACCGGTAGCACCAACTGGGACCAAAACTCATATGGGTAGAGTGCCATCAAGATTACCTACAGTCAAGAAAATGACCACGGCAACTACCATGATAAAGGAAAATCAAGAGTATTTTAAGGAACTTGAGAAGCTGGACCTTCAGTGCTATCCTCGGATGACAGCACCTAGCTGGTTGGTTCCCCGCAGGCTTAAGAGCCTGAAAATGCTCTACATTAGAGGAGGGCCGCTTCGAAATCTAGGTCATGCGGAGGAGAATGACAAGTGGACAGTTGAGATATTACGTCTGAAGTTCTTGAGTGAATTAAAGATGGACTGGAATGAACTGCAGATGTCATTTCCATGCTTAACATATGTGGAGAAATTTAGATGCCCTAGGCTCACTTTCTTCCCATGTGATGAGAGTGGAGTTTGCTTGAAGCCGTGAAATGGAACAATGGAATCGTATCCGGTGGGAAGCCTCGGCGAGAATGTGATGCATTCAAACGGTTAAACTGAAGGTTCACTAGATTGATTGAAGAATATCGTCAATTTTGTTTCCCCTAATGCTATGCTCTCTTTTTTCCTTTTTCTTCGGAAAGTGAATTTAGTTCTGCTTGTTGAAATTTAATGTTGCTCCAAAGTTGAATGTGGATTGTATTCAAGCTATTGAGAAATTACCTCTGTGTAAATATTGTCATGGGAATCTATAAAACTACAGACACTTTGATACTTACTCGTCTCTGCAAACACGATTCGTGTCACTTTGAGTTTACAAATATGCTCTAGAAAGAGTGGACAATGTTTCAAACTTCTTTGGACTTACATATTTTAGGGGTTTTTGAACCTTAATCCTTCAAGAAGATTAAAATTTAATAAAAACTTGGTGTTATATTGAATATTAATTTTAGTCCCTTAATGTGTACTTAATTTCAAATTCATATTATATTTTTGTTTTTAAATTTAATAGATAACTTATTTAATGTTATTACATTAAATTTTAAATTTATTATTATACACATTTTAATTCATTAATTTTATTTAACTTTCTCTAATTAGTGTACCTAGACGTCTGTATCATAATATATTTTACAAAATTAGTGTACCGAAATGCCCGTACCTAAATATATTGTAGTGAATTAGTGACACATAAGAAAATATGTAAAAACATAAGTGTACCGAAAATTCCGTACCTAACTATATTATACTAAACTTGACACACCCCGACCCGGAATGTCCGCTAGGACTCTGAATCGAGCTATGCTAGTCGACATCTGGAAGGTGACGAAGCCATAAAGTGTGATAATGCGTAAACTATGAATAAATTTAAACTTCAAAGTGCCTCAATATACGAGTGTTCGGTGAGTAGGTATGGACCCATTCACACGTGATACCGCGCATAAGTAAAGTATAGCAAGGTAAGATAATGATTATACCCTCATAAGAAGCCACATGTACTGAGAAGTGCCACAAATCCTCGTCGATACGGAAACTTTGCTACTAGAACCTGGAGGAGCGCAAAACAGAAAGTGTGAGTGGGCAAAAACAAAGCTTTTGCAAACTATTTCATTTATCAAAGTAATAACCCTTCGCCGTAAACCAGAATAATTTCTCAAAAAAATAGAATACATATCGATATCGAAACCATACCCGAAATAGTATAATCCACATGTATGCCATGCCCAATATCTCAACATAATGAAATAAGTAACCCGGGTGAAATAAATCCATGAAAAGTAATATGTCAGTCGGATCCACCTATTGTGGTATGTACGACTGAACCTAGTTCATCCAATATCCAAGTAATATATCAGCCAGATCCACCTTTTATGGCCTGTACAGCTGAACCCATAACTCATCACATATCCAAGTAATATGTCAGTCAGATCCACCTCTTGTGGCATGTACGGCTGAACACATAGCTCAACACATATCCAAGTAATATGTCTGCCAAATCCACCTATTGTGGCCTGTACAGCTGAACCCATAGCTCATCACATATCCCTGCACACGAGTCAGAACCACCTCTAGTGGTATGTACGACAAGACAGGTGTAAATAAGTACGCTCAAGTGCTACGATCATGTGAAGACTGTGCGAATAATCACTGGTCACCTTAGAGTCGAAACCACCTATAGTGGTCTGTACGACAGAACTGTGCACCTACCTTGGATCCAAGGTGAGCGTAAGGTGCAGGAGGTGAACATCACGTGAAGGACTGTGCCCTGGCCACGGGCGGGAGCACTAACACCGGGGTGCAGGTTTGTGAGCTATAACTGTATTTAATATAACATATATTACTCATAGGCAACCTGTACGACAATGTCGGAGTTGCCTATTATTGCAACCTATACGACAAGGTCGGAGTTGCCTAAAACATAAATGTAATCATACGATAACAGCATATTCACCTTCGCCCTTCAATGCATTCACAATAATTATGTGCAGGTAATGTACATATGGATATGCCATGATGCAATCTAAAACTCAACCATATCATAGTATTTCCAAATATATACATATATATAATATGGAATAAAATGCATAAGTTGTAACGCCCTACTCCCGAACTATTTATTTTCGGGCATAATTATCAGTGATAAGCCCAATTAGACATTAGTTTAATTAACTATCATTACTTACATTTACTTACTTCAATTTATTGATTCTTCACACATTGATTTATGACCAACATTTAACCACCAAAACATAAGGTTAAATCTCACATTTTCTACCAATGTCCCTCACATTGCTCAATTCCCCAAACAAGACTATTGTCTCAATGATTGTATGGCTGCATCAAACGTCTTGTTAGACTGCCTACGTACCCTAAACAGGGATCAAGCCATTCGTAGTTCGCACTAGTACTTCAAAGCATTCACAGTAATTATATGTAGGTAATATGCATAAATCAACTTAAACACGTTTGTGGAATTATCAATCATATGTATATATATACGATAGAAAGGAAAAGACCCACTCACTGATATGTAGAAGGGTCGTAGCCCCCGAGTCTCGCTTGACTATGCTCGTCCTCTGGAAATGTCTCACCTATATGCGAAACAACTATTTTAACATTATTTTAAGCACATACTCAAAACTAGGTAATAAATTCTCATACATTGCTCAATTGAGGTGTTTGAATATACCAACGTGATCTACTCAACCCCACAAACATCCCCATATTTTTAGAAAAAATTTCTGATGACCACGTGCCGGCCACGCGCAGGCACGTGCCTGGCACACCAAACAGAATCCTTAACGGCGTTAGGGAATATTCCGTTAAATAATAGAATATGCTGTTAAATATACCTAACGCCGTTAGCATATTCCGTCAACTTTGACAGAATATTCCCTTCCTTCAACCTCAGCTCGCCGGAGTCCGGCGCCGGTGACCTCTGCAACTGCCGGTTTCTGGAAGAACTTCTAATCTTCATATCTCATTCATTTCAACACCAAACTTCACGAAATTTAAACCAAAATGAAGCTTAGAATGAAAGGAACACATCCTTACCACTTTTATGCCCTAAAACTCACGAAAGCTCGTCGAAAAAATCTTGATAATCTAGTCACCTCTGCAACTCACCGAAACTGAGCTTCCTGACATCCAAAACCTTTCAAAATCCTTCCCTAAGCTTCGTGAAACAGTCCTAAGGCTCATTAGAACCTTAAAATTCAACGAAACTTATGTGATCATGACAAAGTCACTATGCACCACATCGGGGTTTCCTGGTTCCCGAGTTTTCGAAGTCTTCACGTCCAACCAAATGTATAAATGAGTTCCTAGGCTCGCAATGAACACGAATATCACCTTCACAGCCTCGATCCGTGCACGAAATGGTTGTTTTACCAGTTGACTGTACAATTGTACGAAAAATGAAGAAAAACAGAGAGGGATGAGAGAGAGAGTCAACAGGAGTGGTGTGTGTGTGTGGTCCTAGTTGGTCACCAAACAAAACAAAAGAATAATAAAACCTAAGTTCTAATTGGATCCAAGAACTTAGGAAAAAATTGAATTGGTCCACAACCTAAATTCATCACACCACACAACGTCTAAGGGTAAGATAGGAATTTCATACTATCGAGGATATATTTCGGGACGAGCTGTCACAAAACTAGTGTACCGAAATGTCGATACCTAAATATATTATACTAAACTAGTGTACCAAAATGTCCATACCTAAACATTTTATACTAACTCAGTGTACCGAAATAATCGTACCTAAATACATTGTAATGCATTAGTGGCAGATAAGAAAATATGCAAAAACATAAGTATACTGAAAAATCTGTATGAAGATATTTTCTTATATAAGATGCTTACCATAATGAGAATTAAAATTTATAATATTTTCATAAAATTATAAATAAAAAAAGAGACATTTAATACATATAGTGGCATTAAATAGAGTTTAGGGACTAAAATCAATTTTTAATCTTGTATAAATTCTAACTTTCATCTTATTTATAGATTAAAATCTAGTTTTATATATTTTATAGTCAACTTAAAAAGAAATGGGAACCAGGGTTTCTGCTTTGATCCGCAGAGAACAACGATTGAACTAAAACTAATTGGATGTAAGAAAGGAGGGATTCAACAATTTATATTTCAGTTACTGTTGTTGTTTCCTACATTTTCATGTTCTCGTGCATACACTTGGCATCTTTGTTTTTCTTCTACAGAATTGTTCCAGATCAGCAAAGAATGGATTTACTGATCTAAATTTAGCAGCTCTTACGATTCGATAGTGTGGATGCAAATTTCTTCCTCCTTATCCTTAGACAAAATTGCACCTACAAAACAAATAACACATTAGGTCAAGGACAAGAGCCTCACGCGCCCACGATGAATGAGGGGGCTTTGGCTGAAGAACCTTTGATGCCAAAGTTAGAATTTAGAGAGAAAAAGTATTTGGAGAATTTTGAGAATTTAACAAGAGAATTAGAATTGAGTTTTGGAGATAGTGATGGGGTTTTTATAGGGGTGTGGCCGGCCCCTTTGGAAGAGAAAGGACCGGCCACTTGGTTCATTTTGTGGGTTAGGTTCTTGATTTGTGTTTAATTAGGAATAATTGAATAATAAATCAATTAATTAACTAATTAATAGAATAAGTTCCTCATTGATTAGCTAATTAATATAATAAAAGGGGAATGATTTGGGAGTTTCCTTGTGGAGAGGATTTGATGAGGATGGATGAAATAGGTTTTGAATTATTACCTATTTTGGGCACTTTTAACTTGGTTGAAGGTTGATTGCCCGCTGCTCGCACGTAGGCATCCCAGTATGCCTTGAGAGTAATTTTGTCATTTTAACCCAAAGATCCACGTATCGCCTTGTGATCATTTTTGGCTCCACAGATAGTGCGACAACTTCTTCTGGCATTGTGGAACAGGAATAAAGCAGGCAATTTTTGTTTTGTGTTTTCGGTTATAAAGCGAGGAATTACTTGGAAATACAGATAAGTGAGTGACAAGGCTGCCAAAGGTGCTTATAGAATCTTGCCAAACAAAAGCCAAAGGTGGTTTGCCTGTACAATTATTTAGATGATGCCTTCCATTTTATTATCATCTAAGTTGCACGGACACGGATACAACGACACACGACACGGCAACATGATAAATCTCAAAAAATAAGACACAGAGACACGACTAAAGGTATGGCAATAAAATATAATAAA